CTGAACACCAGAGCATGTGCCAGCATCCCTGTCATCAGACCAAATGACATGACCTTTGGGAGTTTTAGAATGAAGTGTCTTTTCTTCAGCCTGCAAACACAAAAATGTAAGAAAGGATTTGTTTGTCTGGTTCATCCCATTATGAGACATGAGTGGAGTTTAGGGTCAGAAAGTTCAGAAACCTTTTATGTACTCTGGTGAGAAGCAATGATACTGGAAAATCCTAAAATAAATAAACTACAAGCAACTTCAGAAAATAATAATACAAAGTGTCCATTTGCAAACCAAGAGTGAAGTTACCTTAAGCAAACTGTCCCCATGCTGGCAATATTCTGTAACAGAACAGCCCTTCATTCTCTCTAGAAGAGCCTCCTTCATTCTAATACACCTGTGCTTTCATTTTCAAGGGATGCCAGGTTAACTGCTACCCCTAAATTCTACCTCTCTGCCACAGTTATATTTACTGTCTGTTATGTACAGTTATGTTTCCTGTCTGTTAGGTGTGTGCTGCACAGAGCTCAATCACACTGACTACTGGCCAAGGCTGACTGAAGCCAAGCAATCCTATTTCTTGAAATGGGCTTGAAAAGGGCATGATTGAATAATCAACCTTTAAAGAGAGACCATATGGAAAATCTCACTGGATTGCAGTAGAACTCAAATGTCTGATATGTGCACTAGACACAGGTCTTAGTGGTGCAAACATGGAAAACAGCTGAATATGAATAAAGCTTCATAATAAATACATGGTTTAGTGGCTGCTAATACAAACTGTAATGTCAACCAGGGGCAGTTCAGCCTCTCCAGGCAGCTTTTCAGAAGGACAAATCAAGATACACAAACCAAAGAGGATGAAGCTGGTCAGCCTTGGTCACTGGGAGTTAGAAGCCAGCCACAAGACCAACACAGCAGCTGCTGCTGAAAGCTCAGAGGTGCCTTCCAGCATTCTCCCACCTTGTGTTAAGCAATTCTGACAATTCTTTCATGTAATCCATAGAGAACTGCCCCCCATCCTCTAAATTAAATGGAGAGCTGTCACCAGTGCACTGCAGCCTGCAAGGATGAGGGTGGTTTTCACCCTCTTGCCTTGCCTTGCTGAATTAGGAATGATAAACAACATTTCTGACTGCATCCTGCTACTGCAATTACTGTTCATGGTGACACTAATGCACCTTGAGGACACTTGTACTGACACATGACACAGGAAGGCTGGAGGAGGGGACACTAACAGTATGGCATGACAAGCCAAGTCCTCCTGGGCCATCACAGCAAAGGCTGGAGTCATTCTCAGCTTAAAGGCAAAATACTACTATTCAGAGCTAAGCTGTCTGACATTAAATGTTCACTCTCAGAAGATAATCTGAAAAAATTGAGCGAACTCAGACCACTTTGTGATTCCTGTTCCTTCTGTCTCTGCCCTCATGCAAAGGTCCGTGGTCTCCAAGACAGAGGAGCAACACAAATTCCCTTTTCAGTGATTCCCTGGAGTCATCATGAAGGATGAAAAAATTGGTAAGGGGGTGTAAAAGAACAGTGTAAAAAGAGCAGACCTGCTGCAGAGGAACTAATTTTGGAAAGAAAAGCAGCTGGAGCAGTTCTTGATTCTTTGAAGACTTTCAGGAGGAAGTTAGAAGAAAATAGGAGTGGTTCTTAATGGTATAAATACAAACCAGGGATGTCAGCTTCTGATTCTTTGAAGCTCACGTATAATGATTTTTACTACCTTTCCTATTTCAGCATTTATTTCTTCTCTATGTTCTTAACTTACATGACTCTTTTTAGTTTAATCTATACCAACATTTAATTCCTGCTGCCATTTCAATTAAACATTAAACAATTAAATCATTCATTATAGACAGCCTTTAAGTAGCTATAATTTAAAGAAGAGCAAAAATTGCTCAAGTTGAGTAAATTTTTCATTAACACTGATAAAATGCAACATTGTTTAAATAATAAAGAGCAGTCAGGAACAAGCACCTTAGTGTCCTAAAAGGAAAATGTCTGTTAGAAGGAGAACCACGAGTTGGAAATTTTTTGATACACATATGTAATTTCAATCAAATATTTAACAAATATCTTTATAACCAGCTATGTTTTAGCAAATGAGTTCCAAGAGAATTTAAGAATACTTCCTTCATAGGCAGAGTATTGTATAATTTCTTCCCATAGATTCTTCCTCCTGTCTCTGATGCAGTCCCAACTGAAGAGGTTACAGGACTGTGTACAGCACATTGCTACCTCCTTTTAGTAGTATTAAATAATGCTCCCAAGTAATTTAGTTTCATTTTTATTAATACCCAGACCTCCAAAGATAGAAAAATGAACCAGTAAGTCTCACTTGAAATTCACCTATTTTAGCAAAATGTAATGCAACAATTTGGAGGTGTGTGAATTGGATATGTGAAGATTAATATTACTCTTCTTTCTTGGAGAAGTATCTCTTGCATCTTGGAGGCAGGTAAGAAATGTTACCTCGTGCCAGGATGCACCTTCCTCATTCACTTATAAAAAATTAAGCTTTCAGTAATTTGTAAGAATTTAAATCAGACATAATCATCCTGCAGCAAATTACTGGCATGTATAGAGAGCTACATCACACAGCACAATTATTCCACACTGGATAAGTGTAGAAGTTGGAAAATGGAAATGAAAATTCTTGACAGCACTGATGTACTTGGTCCCACTTTTCTGCATTTACCCGCTTGCCAAATTCATGCTTTCTACCAGATTTTTAAAAAGGCATACATACTAAGCTCTTTACTAGCTTCTTTATACGAATTAGAAACAAAATTGGGATTCTAATGGAGGGTAAAATAATAAGATATAATGAGTATGCAATACAAAATCGACTTTAATAACATCTTCTCAGATAATATATTACTGAACAGTCTGAAAAGACTTCAAACATCCCATTATTACCATTTTGACCCGAGGCAAAGCAGAGCACTGAAAATACATCAAGGGTTCTGTTCAAGACTAAACGGGTTATACTTGTATTATGCAGTTTGTGTGAGAGTAAGGCAATGGTGATTACACTCAGTTCAGAAATAAAATAAATTGGTAGGTTATTCAGGAGCACTTTCATCAAAGCTTCACCCATGTGGCAGGACACAAAGAGTCACCTTGTCTAGTCTCTTTTGTACACATAAATGAACACCTCATAAAAATATAAATTATACATACTTGTCTAAAATCAGTATTTCTTTCACATTAATGACTGTTTGGTCTCAGCTCTAAAAGAAACAGAACAGCCCAGATAAAGGACTGCTTTTTTGGAGATTTAACGCTCCTGAAAAGGAAAGCAGCAGGAGAAAAAGAAAGTTCACAAGTAAGTAAGAAACAAAATCTGCCTGAACATGTTCCTTCTTTGTGCAGTAAAAAATAAGGCTGTCTTAAACTCCTGACATTTGGGTGATACTCACAGTGATAAAATTCAGTTAAACTAAATGCAAACTGACTTCAGCAGTCACACATCTTCTGAACTGCTGACCCGAATCTATCAGGACACTTTTCTCCCTTATTACCTTTTCACTTCTTGGTATTTAAGAGTACTCTGGCTGGAACAGGGACTCTAAGAAGAAAAGCAGTTGCAAGAGGGCTTTAGGTCTGAGCAACAACAGTATCAGCAATACCTTGCAATCTGTGGATCAAAGGCAGCTGAGGAGTCAGAGTGCAGTTCAATTAACAGGCAACTATTTGAAGACCTACCTGTATTAAAGGGATGTCTGCAAGTGCAATTATCTTTTGTCCTGAAACTTTTAAATCACTCACTTTAAGAGCAGAAATATGAAGGAGACACATGGGGCAATACGTTGTAATTAAATGTCAAGTCCCTACTTGTCTGCTTTTGCATTTGGTTAGCCTGAACTTACACATTTTATATCCCTTTTTGGCATACAAAGCCGCATTCTGGTTAATTTTTAAACCAACTGCTGCCACACTGCTAATACTATAAGGAAAAAAAAATCACACTGCGTCGTTTCATTTTATATCACTTTTCTAAAATATTTTTAGCATGCTTGAACTGCAGAGCACCATAGAGATACCTGAGTTCGCTTGAAATAGATTACACTGGCATAATTAGACTGTTTTCAGCAGCTAAACTAGAGTTTAGCAGGTGGTAATTTAAGCTATTTTTCACCATGGCAAATAAGCCTGCACAGAATACTAGATCTGACAGTCCTAGTGCTCAAGCTGGTTTATGTACATGTGCTGTACAAATGTAACCTCCTTTATGAATGCAGCATATTTACTGATATTTCTTTCAGCAAAATAGCTTAATTTTTATTATACCCTCTATTATTTATTAACACAACCATTAAAATCAAAGAGTTAGCTATTAAATGGCCTGCCAAGCAGCCTACACTAGAGCATAGATTAACCTATTTTATCTTGTAGATGTGCTTCTGTTAATAAATTCCAAAGCTGCTAAAAAATGGGAAAAAAACCCTCCACCAGAGAGGCACATCTGAAGTCATAATAAGCATGCAATTTGGGTATTCAAAATGACATCATGACAGCTGCTATGCCTTCTAAGTATTGAAAGCGCTTTAAAAATAAAGCAGTGGTAACACAGTTTGGCAAATTGCTTCAACTGGCTTCCCACGATCCAAAAGTCAACATTAACAGCAGCTTGGTTTGATTTTTTCATGTGCCTTTTGTAAAGCAGATTAGACAGTGAAAAGATTCAGGATTATTTTTTTCTAACTTCTGTTCCAGTCTTTCAGCAAAGAGATTGTAACAATACACCCAAATTACTTTATAAACCCAGTGTACATTCCAAATGTGCTAAATGAAATAAATTTCTTTTCTACTGCATGTTTGAAATGTGTGCCTTTTGTATTTCCCTTGCAGAAAATGTTAACATTGGTGAAAGCTCTGCCTCTCTCTTTCACTTAATTTTGGTCTGCTTCCTCTGGAAATCTTTGCCTTAGCAAATCATTCAGTTGAAAGAAAAAAAATAAAATAAAAGCACCAAACATCTGGTAGAGATGCCTTACCTAATGACTGGTAAAGCTCAGTCATCTTGGGATGATCCCAGCAGGTCGTTTGCGTCTCATGGCTACAACACAAAACATGAAAGTTAGTATAGAGAATTTCTCTCTCCATCTCACAGCAGAGATGCAGGCTGCACATCAGAGCACGGTGCCCGATCTGTGCCCACAGCCTGGGCTGCCCTGGCAGGGGGCTCAGCAGTGCCAGGAACATCTTCCTTCAATGAGGGGCATTAACCTGGAGCGCTTTATTCAGTCCAGGACTCATGAAATAAAATTAAAACTTAATTAGTGCTAATTAAAAAGACAGCAAGTATGTCAATGTTTTGAGGAATTTGCAAGCCATCAATTCTTAAGAACTCATTGCTTTGTACCGGTCATTCTCCAGTTGCTCCAAGCTAGAGGACAGACATTTCAGAGGGTTTAGTTCTTAAAAGAGTTTCTGGAAACTCTGAGCAGACACTGAGATCCATATTTGACTTTCTTTCCCCTACATGCTCTCTCAACCCTTTCCCAGGTAGTATGTAAGAACCACCCAATGCAGTGGGTCCAATCCTTCCTGTGCTAAATTCCCTGAGCCACAGCCTTCTGATCCACCACCAGCTTACACCACTTCCCAGGGCAATGTTGCACCCTGTAGTGACAATCTTTTCTAGCAAAGACTCTTGGCTGCTCTGCTTGTTTCCAGGGACTCCCAGGCCCTTTCCCCAGCCCTGGAGGTCCCTGTGCAGTGTTCCACTGTTGGGAAGCCAGGGAAAGCTGAAGCGGGGTTATGAAATGCTGCAGTATGAGCAGAATGTAAATTGGAGAGTGTCTGCATTGAGGTCAGCAGCCTCCAGCTTTGCAACACAACGTGCTGCCGAAGGACAGGCAGCGTGAGAAAGTCAACAGAGCGAAGTGTTAGTGGATGTAGTAGCAACTCATGTCTCCTAAGGTTATACTTCTGGAGCTTGTTTTTTAATGACAGCATAGCTAACATGATTATGTTTCCATTAACATAGAAGGCTTGAAAGAAAATTCTCCTTATCTGTCCTGTAGCCAATTAAGTCCCGTTCAATTCAAACAGAATTCAGCCGTATTGAGACAACTGTGAGTCTCCATTAAAAAAAGAAAAAAATAATAAAATATATGGAACAGGTATGTAGCATACCATTACTACCAAATACATTTGCCATTTCTGTACTTAAAAGCAGACATACAGGCTTCAACATGCACACATCATTCTGGAGAACATATGCAGAGGAGCAGGACCTGACCCACAGCACTGCTGAGCTCCTGGAGCACACAGCTTCCAGCTCCAGGAGACCAAACCACCACCCAGCAGCACCTGTGGGCTGCACTGTGCCCTGGAACATTGACACAACAAGGTTGTTTTAGAGAACAAACAGTCCTTGAGTTCTCATTTTGAGGCACTGATGTTCCCAAGTGCACATTTACCCTTTGTAGACTAAGAAGAGGTAAAACTTCCAATGCATCACTTCAACAGCACCCCTACTCAAGGAAAAAGAAAGATGTGCCAGGTTTTTTCAGTACAATTTAATTTTGGCCTTAAAAGACAGGCTATTTATTTGATTCCAGTGAATACTTACTGGCCCAGTAACCTCTATATGTTCAGCAGCTTACTATATATAATATTTCCAGATTTTGCTCTGTAACTACAAGAAAGAATGAAAGGGATCACAAGCACTAAGCATAAGAAAAAAACTCTACTGTAGAGCTGCCCTAGTTGAGCACAGGGTTTCAAACAAGCCCTGTCTCAGCATTCCCAACCCTCAATTCCTGCAGTGGCTGAAGGCAGTGAAAATGGGAGAAGGACGTCACAAGAGCAAAACCAGTCTTGTTCTTTGCTCTGATAAAAACGAGTCCTGCAAAGGGAGGTGGATGCAACTGTATTCAGAAATTTCAGCCTGGTCTGGGCTTTTTTCCTGGTTGGTTGGTTTTTTACTCCCAGAAACTGGGTAGCTTCAAGTGAAAACCTGCGGATCTGGGCCAGCTGCATCTGAGCTCCTGCATTTCCCATCCTGCTTGGATCGAGCAGGTTCTGCAGGGAGAACGTAACACCAGAACCTTTTATCACACCCAGATATAAAGCATATTTTAGAAGAAAAACAGAAACAGCTTCATTCCTAAAAACTCAACTGAGAGAAGCCTCTTCTGATATAGCAGCACCCCAAAGGAAAAGAAGATGGAAATGCATTCATGGCAGAAAACCCTATAGCCAGAAATGTCACGATTCAGGTGAGCAGCTGCAGACCCAGACAAACATTCACACCTACAGACCAGCGGCTGCAGTTTGTTTGCACCCAATGTCAGTCCCAGATCAACAGTCCCCCATGCATGAGCTTGGCCAGCCTGGCTTGCCTCCCCACAGGCAGACAGCCTGAGAAGTGGGGTATATCTGAAGAGGAACTGTACCATGGTTTGTAGACTGAATCACATAGCAAAAATGAGAAAAAGAATTTATGTGAACAGTTACAAGAAGCCTCCGAAAATAACCTCATTGAAAAACCTGTATGAAATTAATTTGGTAGCCTCAAATTGTTCTAAGGACAAACTAAATAATTTCAGACTCCATAGCTGTCAACCTGACAGCCTTCAAAGAAACTGATTCCCCATGAAAACATTTAAAAACCATTAGATATCTGGTAAAGGCGAATATACATAGGATTATGGACATATGCCGTGCTTGTGTGGGATAGAAGAACAAAAGGATCATCTTCATGTGAAAAACTAGTATCAAAAATCAAAGTTATACCAATAAGTAATTTATTGAATTTTTTTTAAATTTTTTATTATAAGGCCTAATCACGTATCAATGAGTTGAGCGTGTACGGTTTAATCTTATGGCATTTACTACTGCTGAAAATACACAACTGCTTTTTTAAGACCTTGCAAATAAAATTTTCTTTGCCAGAGAAACACTGGACTCCAACTGGTTTCAGGTATTTTTAATACCAGTAACCCCAAACCTTTACTCAGCGTGGTTTTCTTTCATAGTACAAGATAAATTATCACGGGAAATGCACATTTTGTAAAGAATGATTTCATTTGCTTCATGTTCAAGTAACAAAGACTGAATTCGCAGGGCTGGTACATTTCCCGTTTTCCTTTAATTTGAAACTTCGTTGCAACTTAGAGGAAATATTCCTTTCCTAAGTCCATAAAAGTCAAGCCAGTAGAGCCCCTAACTCTTTCCCCACCAGCAGTGAGCATCCATGGGGCAGAGTGCCCTGCACCTGCTGGATCCCACCTTGGCAAAGACCACCCAGCTCCCGCCTGGAACCAGCCCCAGGGATGGGCTGGCCAGCCCTCAGCACCCCTCTGTGCTCCTGCAGGAGCAAGGGAAGGCTTGGAGGGGAACTGTGGAGGTTGAGTGGCCGCACGGAGCCAGGGCAGACTTTGCTGGTACTTTACATGCAGAACACAAGAAGGCTGCAGATATTTTGCTCCAGCTAAAAGGCGTTCGCCTCTGAACATCTTCGGCTCAGGAAATTATCAACTATTCTGCACACAAGGGCAGCTCCAGGAAAGGTTAGATTCCATCAAGGCTATTCTTCCTAAGCCTCTTTGCCATTTTCAAAGGCCATTTAATTGTGAGCTCTGGGCTTGGACCGGTGGGGGAGGATTTGTGTGTATGCCCTTATTGTGAGCACCGTCTGAAGTGAAATGCCAGCTCAGCACTTTCAGGCGGCCTCAACCACACTTGGGAATGCTGTAGCATCCTTAATAGATCTGCAGCAAAGTGTTTGCCAGAGTTTCAAACTCTGGTGAACAAGGCCCTTTACAGCCTGCAAGTCAGAAAGACGTCAAAAGTGTAGTCTGAGTCCTCTTGACTAGCAGAGTGAGAATATGTGCGGAAATAAGTACTCAAAATGCTTCTCCAACAAACCACCAACACAAGAAGACATTGGCACACACAGCCAGCAGTTTTCCAATATTGCACATGCTCAGAGGATATATTTTTCAATTTGGCTCTACATTTAGGTCAACTAAATTGATCACTAGCTTTTAAATCACAGGCATTCTGAAACAAATAAAAATGTAAGTGCACTCACTTGGCTTATTTTCCTCTTTCTCACCTGACCTGAGCTGCAAAAGTGGAAAGGAAATTAAAACCAGGCCTGAAAAGAAGACGAGAAGCAATGGCTAGTGGTGACACCTTGGTGCAAGTGTGACTGGCACGCTAAACACACTGATAATTTGGTGGGATGAAAGCATAGTCTTCACTTGATACATCCTTTGGGAACCACAGGACCACTTCATTAAGGGATGATTATATTATATTAGCAAGGATAATTTTTATGTAGGGAATTCTGTCACACTATGCCTGTGTGAACTCTGTTTCTGCCAACAGCAGAGAGATTTGTCTCTCATCACTGTCAGCAGAGCCAACAACACACAGGATTGGAAACCTGAAATCAAGAGATGATATCCTAACAGACACACTGGAATTACAGTTCCCTTGTTATGACTTGATCAGTCTGGACAAAATAAAGTCATTTTTTCTTCATTCTTTTTATATTACTTCTGAGCAACACCAGCAGCAGGAGGAATTGAAAGCAACGCTCCCCCACACCCAAATTCTTGCACAAATCCCCCCTCCACATTCCTGCACCAGCCACACTGTAACATTCACAAATCTTTTAACTGTTTTTGATTGCATCTCTTCTCCCTCACCCTTTAAAAAAAAAAAAAAAAAAAGAAGAAAAAAGTCCTGTGTATTCACTGCTGAGCTCCAGAGCAGAATTTCAGGTTGCAACTGCAGAGTCCTTTTTAAACTCTTCACTGGTGATACCAGAGCCAGTTCTGCTGCACTTCTCCCCACACCCTTCATTAGCAAATGCGACATGAACAACATGTGCAAATGCATAGATGTGCACAGAATAAAAAATTCTATCGCATAGCAATAGTCACATATACTCACAAAAAAGTGCCAAATTTATAGTGGCATTGTACAAACCCCTGAACTCATCTCTTTTCAAACAACATGATTTACAATACTTCTCACCTTCTGTCTTTACGATGAATCAAATGTTACTCCAACCACCTTATGACTGTTGTCAAAAAG